CTATGTGGTGTACAGAGAGAAAATTGGAGTCCAGTTGGGTGGCAGCGGCCATGGGTACGGAGCAAGTGGACCAGAGCAGGAAGCTCAGGAACCACCATAATACAGACCAGGGGCGGTGCCGGGGTGTCAGTGGTCTGACCCGACACCCCGGGGTTAGTTTGACCCCATGGTGTCGTTCAGGTCTGTCCCCATGGAGTCATCGGGTCCGGTTGGCTGGTTCAATGGAACGGAATCATCGGGAGTGGGCGTCAGCGTAGGCTGGGTGGGGTACGCGGCTGGTAGTCCGGTTGCAGGGGTGCCGAGGGCGGCGAGGCCAGCAAGTTGGGAGGAGACACTTTGCATGGCTTGCATTAGGGTGCGTAGACTGGATTCGATGATGGGGAGGCGTTCGGCCATTGCCGCTTGGTGGGTGCCCTGTTGTGTGATGGTGGTTTGCAGGCAATTTTGCGCCTCCGTCAATTTGCGTTGATCCTGGGATTGTTGGTGTTCAGCAGCCTCACGGAGGCGGCGTTCTTCGAGTAGTCGCGCATCGAAGGTGGTGAAGGCTGCACTGGTGGCAGAGACTAAGGCTGTGAGGGTCTCCTTATCCGCGCGGAGGGTATCGACTTCCTGCTGGATTGGGGCTGTGGTCTGGACGATACGGTGGTCCACATATGTGGAGAGTTCCCGACGGAGGTGTGGGACGATGTCCGTGGTCGGGCCTGATGCGTGCAACGGTTGTTGTTGAGAGGGGTATTGCCAGGATTGGGGTGTGTGGCTGACCGTGGTGGAATGTTGAGGGACCGAGCGGCCTGCTCGAGTGTGCACACTCTTACTGCGGGAACGTGCTCCCGGACTCTTGGTACCACGGGGATTGGATTTATGTCGAGATGCGCTGCGTGTACGGTCGCGGGGGTCAAGGTAGGTAAAGCGGTCGCAAGGTTTGCCCTGGTGGTCCTGGCGGCCGCAGTCGGAACATTGCATTGCCACCGCTGTGGTACGTGGGCGGCCCATGAGTACGTGTAGCTGGACAGCTATATTACGTACGTAGAGGGGGGTGGTCCCATGTGGGCCTGAGGCGTTCCATAGGAAGGCTGCCGGGGATGGGGAGTCAAAAGTGAGGGTTGCATAGTCGTCGATAATGTCCACATCAGGGGAGGGGAGCTGGGAGCCATGTAGTGCCGCTAGGATGTCCGCAGGCGTGGTAAGTGTAGGGAGAGGGCCGATGCGAACTTTGGTGGCGACGAGTTTGGTTGCACTGAGGGATAAGGGGTGGAAGAACGTGGAGGAGGGGTTGTCCCAGCTGAGGTCACGCAGTGGGTGTAGCTTCATGGAGGGAGGAACCTGGTCCAGGCGGTTTGTTCCAGCAGCATGCAGGCGGTAGTTGGCATAGACAGTTTCTGCCATGGTTTGGCTGGGGAAGACAAGTCGGAAGCGGTAGTTGCCCTCGGTGGGCCAGTTAACACACCCAATGGCCGCCCAATGGTCCCGCTGCCCGTGGGCTCCAGACATACGGGAGTAGCTCTGGATGATGGCATCCGTGGCCCCAAGGGCGCGGAGGGCACACAGTATGTCAGCAGGAGCGAGTTTAGACCGGTTGCGGTATTCCAGCTGGTGGTAGGATAGCCCGTTGCTGAGGACTCCAACATACTGGTGTAGCATTACGACGGAGATGTCCCGGAGGAATATGTATCCACGTCGTGGGGCTGCCCAGGCTAGGGCGGTGCGTTGAATGGGGGTTCCCAGGAGCTGCTGCCCGTGTTCACTGAGTCCGCCGTGGAAGGTGAGCCCGAAACGCTCCTCGCAGATTGTCTCGATTTCTTTCCGAAAGTTGACGATGCTGAGTGGGTTGTCCGGCTGCTGAAGTGACGGGTTGATAGTAAACTGGATCCGAACCATGGTCTCGGAGAAGTGTTGTTCGATATCCTCAATCTCCGCGGGAGTAAATCCTTGGAAGAGGTGTGCTTCGCGTTCCCAGTACATGGTCATTGTGCGGTATAGGATCGGTTGTCCTTCATCGCAGAGGTTACGTAGCCCTGGAAACTGGAGGGCAGAGTTAGCATCATATTCGTCCAGGTCTTCCTCGTGTGAGGGTGGGGCAGTGAAGTCGTGCGGGGGCTGTGCAGGGTCAGGTGGACCTGGCTGGTAGGACGGGGTAGGCGGGTAGTGCATAGCGTGGTGGCGTTTGGATGGTGGTAGTGTGAAAGAGGGGTGGGCTAGGTCCAGGTCTGGATCAACTTCGGAGTGTGGGCGTTTGGTAGATAGATGGATTCGGAGTCAGCAATCCAATGTTCTCGCAGAGCGGGAAAGTCATTTGGACGATAAGTCACCGACATGGGTAGGGGCGGATCACCGGGGTCGCTTTCGCAGTAGCGTAGGTCCGCATGAAGGGCAAAAATGCCTTGTCCAGCAATAACTTGGAATGGGGGATGGGGACGGACACCGTCCACACATCTTGGGGGCAATTGGAGAACCACCTTTATCGGTGTTTCCGATGCCGCTTTGATAATATCACTGCGTGTGGCCGAGAAGGCACTGGGTGGGAACAGTGGAAGATCCACCTTGGTTGGGTTCGTAGGAATTTGGAACAATGGTCGTGGTGGGTAGAGGGGCAAACGCTCGGTAACAAGTACCTCGGCAGAAGGGACTTCAGCGAAGTCTAAATCGCCGGCATCTACAGGAGATGGGAAGTGGTCGGGGAGCTCGCCCGGTGCATCAGTGATGGGAGCGAGGGTAGTAGCCGCAATATGCGGGGGTTCATGGGGCGATGATGCAAAAAAATCGCAGAGTGGGGCAGAGCCCGGTTGAAGCACCTTTGGTAGAACCGATGGTGGGTTGGGACGCTGGAGGACCCGGTTGAGAGTGGAGGGAGGCACAAAGTGGTGGGATAAGACGTGGGTGTGGCCATTGAGGCGATTGCCTTCATAAGTACATGGACGAGAAGCTGCACGAGCAGCAGTGTTAGCCTGGTCATAAAGACCCCCACGATGAGTGCGGCCATAGCCTTGGTCGAGTTGGCGGTTTTTGTCACGGCTGTTGCCACGATTGTTGTTCCACCCGCCATTTCCAGGACCACTAGAGGAACTTGGTCCCCATCCATGGTGGCTATTAGAGCCCTGGTTGCCACTAGGCCCATCGCGATCATCGCGGTCATCACGAGGACGTTGGATAGGACGCGACGGAGCGGCATAATCGCGTTTGCGCTTCTTTTGGGAGGCAGAGCATGTTTGTCAAAGACAGTGCGATCAAAACAAGAACGCATAGTGTTGCGGGCATAGTCCGACTTGAGAGTAGGGCACACTATGGCAATGCCGCAGTAGAAGCAGGACTTGCCGGGGTGATTGACACAATCACGATGAGCACAGCTCGGGATGGTAAACGCGTTATAACATGAACGGAGCCATCAGCTTGCGTAATCGCTTGGGGTAGTGGCGCAGGGGCTGCAACGGCATACGTGACAGCGGAAAGTTGGGTTCGGGTTTGAATAGTGGCGGCAGAGCCGTTGTCATCCAGAGCAGAAGCTCGCTGCAGGCGGTTCGTAATAATACGCCGAAGAGAGGCCTAAACGTCTGCAACGACAACGGACTGGTTGGCGGCGCGCGCAGTGGCCACAGAGTTCGTCACAACTTTCCACAATTCCTTGTCACCAATAAAGGTGTCGGACATTGCATACAGAGTGTAGTAATTCCAGATATGGTTGTGGTAGTCGACGGACGAGTTCGGTGATGGATCCAGTATTGAACGATGGCGGCGTCAAAGACACATGGTAGCGCTTGACAAGGTCAATAAGCTCCGCGGATAGTATGTTGATACAACTCTCATCGGTGAACATCGGTGAACTTGAGAGTGTCCAGATAGCTTGAAATGACCATGGGGTTGTTGTCCATGGGGTTCGACTCGAAACGAGTTTTGATGTGCTCAAAGAGCTCGAATGGATACGTAGTGGCCTGATAGAGGCGCCGGAGGTTGGTAGAAATGGCTGAGACCAAGAAGGTGTGCACCGCAGAGCTATGATTCGCCAGTTTCTTGGTCGCCTCGCGGGCAATGACCTCACGTTGGATAGCGGTCGTGTGCGCCTTGATCTCAGCGAGACGCACAATCGCGATCGGTTTCCGAGAGAGTCGGGTCGACGACGTAGTGCTCAGAGTGCTCAACTTGATCAAGCTCAAGATACATCTTGCTAATGTTGAGTGCATCAATGCGGTTCCCTTGAGGGACATTGTCCTGTGTGGAGTAGAACTCAGCAAGATCACGAGAGGTCGCCTGGGACAAGAAGTCCGTCTTCCACAAGGTGTAGGCCAGAGGCCGGAGGTCGTCGAGAGAGGTGCCCACGAAGGGCTGCACAGAGGAAGGGAGGAGACTCATAACCTGTCAAGAGCGACGATAAAGGGGGTAGCACTGGGGAGGAACGACGACGAAGAACACTTGAGTGGTCGAGGGCAAAACCAAAGAACCCTTAACGGACTGCTGAGCTGACCTATGATTGGGCAGAAACAGTCCGGCTTCTACAGAGAAAGAACACCATAAATCCGGATGACCGGGTATTATCCGTAAGTGACCGAATCTCGGCGAAAAAAGGCCAAAGCAAGAGCGGCCAAAGTGCCCCTTCTTGACAATTAGTAAGACATTCCTCCACGAGGGCCGATACTAGTACCACATGTTGTGGAACCGCTTCGCCAATTGTAACTCGCCTGCTCGACCAGGGGCTGTGTGTAATCTTCGGTTTTTCACTTATCTCAACGCTTCAAAACCCTTCGTCGTCGTTCCTTCTAAGTGCTGCCCCTTCCTCGTTCGTCCCTGTTGACACATCCAAACTCAATTAACCGAATCTCCACTATAGGACAAAGGATTTTCTCGTATAGGCATGATATCAAATTTTAGAGGTTCAACTTTGTATTCATTCGACTTCAACTTTGGGAGGTGAGATATTCTTAATCCTGGTTTCTATATTCTTGTCGTCCGCTGCCGCGACATCCCAGTTAGTGTCTCAATTGAAGTATGCATACGTTTTTCCTCGAATGGTTGCAAAAAACGCGCTTTTTCGAGGCGTTTTATTGTTATCCGGTATGCTCCTCTACTATATCCGGAGAACATGTTCCAAAAATATCGACCGTTTCACGAAGAATAAATACTGGGCTTCCAAACAGGGTACACACACATCTAACGAACATGGGCGTCACTTGCCGCAATGCCGACATCGATGTGCCGGCGACAGCGGGGGAGACGATGTGATGGAGGAGGTCGGAGGGGTCCGAAGGTGCTGCTGCTGCTCCGAGGACCTGGGCTTGAACAGGTTGCGTAGACTGAACCTCCGCTTCGGACTCGTCCCGAACGACGACGCATGGAGGTGGTTCGGGCTCTTGGAGTGCCACGAGATGGACCCCGATGTCCATCGATGGAGCGCTGGCGGTTCGAGGTACGGCCTGTCACCGGCGCGCACTTCGCTGTCTTGATCGTTGGCTTCGAGCTTATCCAGACTTGAGCTGGTTTTGAGGGTACTGGGAAACGCGCCCAAGTAGGCCGAGACCAGATCCTTGGTCTTGGACACAAACTCGTTCGCGTAGTACATGTCGTCGGACGCGACGTCGAAGTGGGTGCCGCGCATCGCATGTTGGAGCAGCTTGGCGAGTAGAATCGCGTTCGGAAGCGTGTGCGGGGTATGGGCTTCGAACCCCATGAGCTCAGGCTTGATTAAAGTCGGGCAGATGAGCCGAAGGATAAGACACCCGCCGACGACAATCGTGGTGCCGCGGGTGCTGTTGGGAAATGCGACTTCAAACTCCCGCAAGATGTATGCACACGCAAGGCGGAGGATGTACGGAGCGTACTTGTCCAGGGAACTCACCATGCGATGCACGATGTCGGTAGCGAGTGCCATCACTTCGTCACGATTGAGGTCTCCGAGTCGAGACGACGAACAGAGCGCTCCGCCGAGGACAAACGAAAAGTACGTCTGACCATACTTGTGTCCGAGGTCCTTCATTTCCGACGACAGACCTGTGGACGAGCGCAGGAACTGTTCTTCGCATCCGTGGACGTTGTCCAGTTCGATCTTGACCACGCGTTCAAACGTCTTGAGTTGTGGGATGTCGTCAAACGGGGAGATACATGCAGAGGAAGACGATGACTCGTTCCTATCAGCAGGAGCAGTGGCGGCGGCAGGCATGGCGGTGGCACTGCGACGACGGACGCGACCGCACCAACTGGTCGTCGAATGCAAAATGAGAGTCGTCCAACACGTCGAGATGGAAGAATAATAGTATGTTTCCGTTGCGCCAAACATCCAATTAAAAAAATGTATCTCCAACATATGGGTGGTTGTAAGAAATAGAATAAAAGAGCGACTTTAGCAGAGACCGAACGTTCCACGAACGTTCGAAAGTTGTTCCGCCAATCAAATCCAACAGCCTTTCCGCCGACAGATACTATTACTTCGAAGTATTAGTACTTCAAGTAGTACTTCGAAGGACTTGCAAGTTCAGCAATGCGGCGGGGGCTTCGAAACGTCGATGTGGGTACGTACATCGAGCTGACGTTGGGTATAACGTTTAATAAGGACAGAAGGTACACGCGATTAGAGGGGAATGATGTGTTGGTGAATACTGTAGTACTACTACGTAGTTAGTTAACTCCCAAACAACTTTCTGAATAGTATGCTACTGTGATTGAATCCGTTGGCGAAATGCGACATTTCTCCTAATTACAATACGATTGTATTAATTAGAGCCTTCCAGGTACTGTATGTACGTCACGGAGATTCGATATCCTCTAAGGAGGCAGTTTCGTACAAAGTATACTACATACTACTAGTACTTCATAACGTGCCGTATAGCTGCTAGTACAATGAGAATGTTGCATTCTACATATTTACTCCATACTTGGAGAAGGGGACATCGATGAAGCATTTGGTCTAAGTGAGTAGTTGGTCGTGGTGCTGCGGTTGCGAGGTACAGATCATGGATGTCGTTGTAAATTATGATTTGTATGTGGATTTCAAGGGAAGTTGGAAGCAGAACAGCATCTACACCTCTGTCATTCTGCTGCTTACAGTGTAGCTACGATATCGAATCTCCGTGACGTACTTAGCTAAAGCTCGTAGCTAAATGTCGCATTTGAACTTACAGACAATTACTGTTAACCAACGGATTAACTCGTGATTGATCAAGAAGACAGTCGTACCCATACAATGGATGTGTCAGTCAATGACCCTTGACATGCTCAGAATATACTCACCAACGAGTTCTTTGGTTATGAATCAAGCAAGGATGTTATATTTTTAAGCTATTGAAATGTGCCCCCTCTATAATTCCGAATAATTCCCTGACAGCAAGAGGTCCACTGTTGTTTACGTATTCCTCATTTGCCTTCAAACGAACCAGGACATAGATAGCCCTGTAACGTCGGAACCCCCGGATCCCTCTTTTGTGTTAGTATTTATATTCCCAGGATTAAGTGCATCGCCAGTGGTTTGCTACCGCTAACAGTAAGCACTGGTGATAACCCCTACAATAGCTCAAATGGGATGTTTAGGTTTAACGTTACACTGCATTTGACTAACGTTTTAGGACATACTGTAATACGAACAAGTGAAATGATTACTGTACGCGTTAGCAACTGTGGAACTTCTGCGCTCATGGTATTACATCTATAATTCCACATGATCGTCGCAAAACTAACCACAACACGGACATACAGTACCTGTTGTCCTCAACGTACACATTTGACTCCCAATCAAGTCCTGTTGGTGTCGACTTGTGAATCAGGTAGTGTCATGGCGCTTACTACTACTCCGGAGTACGTAGTACTAGTGTATGTACTATGTAGTAGTATTACTATAACCAATCGTTCGGGGAGGGACAGATCACAGGATCATTTCGTATACCTCCGGCCGGAAATAAACCAGCCATTTCATTCTTGGAGGTTTTATCAGAATTTACCGGAATAAATTATGTTATAGAGACCGAAAACATGTATCCGGATATCTGTCACGATTTGATACTGATTATATTATACACCTGCAGTAATTTATATTCTGTACAAAACATAGTTTTAAAATGTTGCTGACTATTGGTTGATGCAGGTAGAATGCATGTAAGCCACCAACACTCATAGCGTAGAACCCACTTATCCATTAGGGTATTCATGTTTAAGGTATTATATTCCACAGGGATACTGGCCATACTAAGACGTATACAACAAGCATACTTAGGGCAAAATCAGATAACACCATCAAACAAAACACCAATTTTACCAATTTTCACCAAATGGCTGGTTTATTTCCGACTGGAGGTAGTATACAGTTGTACTAGTGTAACCGTTAGCCTTGGTTAATTGAGTTTGGATTATCATTTTTAAGACATTCCTCCGCGACACTACCTTGGAAACCAAACTCCGAGTAAGCATATCAATCACATTATTTACTGTTAGTATTTACAGCTATTAATAGTAGAAGTACAACAGTTGTACTTTTGGTAGTCTTGGAAACAAAACTACTCCAAGTATTGTGGATTCGATACACCCCATCGAATCGAATCTCGCCGCCGAATCGAATCACGAATCGACGCTATTGGCTGATAATCCATTTTTGAGTGGATTTTATTGGCTCGAAAAGACAAGTATATTTAACCAATCAAAACTCCAACGTGATTCAATATTGATTCGACAAACCGGGGAGATGCAGGAACAGGCCGTAAATTTGACATTGCGATCCACTACCGTGAACATGTAAACGGACATTGCCGTGATGTTCACAGAATTGCTGACTCCTTTCGTCGCTTTCCCAAATCGCTCGATTGACAAACTGATGACTCTGCGCTACTTGAAGGGTTAAACCGGGTATTTGCCTCACCACCTGTCGGATAGGATGTGAAATTAAATTCCTGATCATACATTTACCTATATATTTATAGAAATTTACTATCCGTTCGCTACCCGTTCTATATCAGAAAGAAAACATTTCATCCCCGCATGTGCATGTGTAAGAAAAATTCGACACTCGACGCATGCGCGCATGAGCAAAATGCGGAACTTTGGTGGGTGAATACATAGGCTAGGAATGACGACGAGGGATGGGACGCATACCAACTTGTAGACTATTACACGGCACATGTGCACATCACAACCTGCACCGTGGCAGCTAACTATAGATAGCGGCATCCCATGCGCATGTGCACGCAAAACTACAAATTCGTCCTCCACCGTCGTCGTTTTCGTCCTCTGTACTTCACGTTGGTAAGAATGATTGCATGCACTACCTTCCTACACATGTGGAGTACATGATCTCACAGTTTCAGCTCACCTCCATGCGTCACTCCCGAGAATTTGACCACCTGCGCTTGGACTTTCCGCACATGCACACATGTGCGAGCGCAGCATGTATACATACATACATATATGTCAATTTTTAAAAGATCATGCATTTTCAAAACCATGCAAAACAATTCAATACAAAGTTCTATATAAAAAGTTGATATAATACAACAAACATTGAGACTCAGGTACAGAATACCGAAATACAAGGTGTCGGAGATATCTGGCAATCTGGTGTACACCACCGCTGTACTTGCATCCCAACATCCTCGTGTTCTCACGTATGAAGTGATCATTTTGAAGAAACGTTTTTAGCATGTTGCATGAAGGACAGACTTAGTCGACATGTGAGATAATCGCGAGTTTTCGTTCATTTCCTGCATCTCCCAGGCCGAATTTTGGAAGTTTGTAACTGTTAGCGAAATCATAAACACAAGTTTTTCACAAGGAAATCCCGTTTGCAGAAGTTCTCGAATACTGCATCATTTGGAAAGTGAATACTCCAACCACTGACCCCCAACAAGGCAATACTACCTATGTAATAACGTTATACTAGTAGTACCTTGTAGTATTTGTTCTTCATTGCCTGCTGGTTTTCCTTTCAAGAATTTACTCCGGAGTACTATATTTTCCTCAGAGATCAGCTATACGTAGTACTTCGAAGTATTTATTACCAATAATAGCACTACGAGTAACTATTAATAACTAACGTTACTAGTATTAATAATAGTATCGTTACCATGAAATTCCACTTGACAACTCAATCAACCACTTGATAACTATTGATGGGTTTACTTCTTGGCAAAGCTAACCTTAAGTCGTTCGTCCGCACTCAACTTGAACCCATTGAGCCCCTGCAGCGCAATCGACGCTTGGACTTCGTCCAAAAACTCGACAAACGCCAATCCCTTCTTCCCTGGCACAAGGCGCACTTCCTTGAACCCATGGTACTGCTTGAAGAGGATACTGAGGGCGTCTTGGTTGCACGCTTCGGGCACGTCTTGCAGGAATAGGATCTTGTGGGGAAGCACCAGTGCCTGGGACTGGTGGTGGTGCTGCTGCTGCTGTGGCTTGGGCTGGGTCGGCTTGTCTGTCTTTTTGGTGGGTTTCGTTTCCTTTACATGTTGTTCCCACTTTCGCTTCTCCCGGGGCTTTGAGTTCGGCTCTTGTTGCGATCGGATCAGGTCGTTCTTCTCCTTGGCGAACTGGACGTTCATGACCTTCCCAAAGTGGCTCGTGCCGTCCAATGCCCGCAACGCCGTGCTGGACGCCGCCACGTCCTCAAATGTGACCCACGCTTGGCCGCGCAATCGGTGCGCCTTCATCACCAGCACTTGCAGCACCTTGCCGTGCGCGGAGAATAGACCGTAGAGGCTCTCCTTCATGCGAGGCTCCTTGATCTTGTCGTCTAGGTTACGTACATATAGAGTCTCATTAGGCAGCGAGTCTGCCGCGGCGGGGACTACGGCGGCAGCGACGGCGGATGTGGTGTCCATGTGGTGTATCCAATGGAAGGGGGCGTCGTATACTAAATCCAAGACGTTTTCACCCTTGCAAGCCCACCACACATCCGATAAAGTTCGAGTTGAAGCCCACTTAAGTGCTCGAACGTACTGAAGTTGCATGGAATCGAAGTAGCCACAGATTTTGAAGCTGTGATTGGTCAGAAGACTTTGAACTTCGATTTCTATGACAAATCAAATCGCCTCATCTGAAATACATAGATTTCATTGGATGAAATACAGTAGTTCCATTCTGAACTTCGGTGATCGCAGTAGATTTCATAGTCCTGCATGTGAAGGTCGACGCCCATGACGGAGCGACCACGATGCGATGGCGTAGCTAGGATAGATCGTCTTCGCTGGATGTGTACGATTGATGTAACAAACATGCGCAGGCTACATGCAGTTCTGTAGTTCGGTAACGAAGGGCTCCACTCATAGCGGCACGCATGGCCTCGAGATCCTGCACTGTAGTCAGGTCCTCCCGGGTCCTCGAACTCCCATTGTCGGACGTGTACTCACACCGCAGTCCATGATCATGCGGCAACCGCTGCAGCAATCGTTGCGCTTCCCTTTGGCAGTTAGCTCCCATTGTCCGGATACACATCACTTCCTTTCCGCTTATCCTCCGAATCCAACCATGGCCGACGTCGTGGTGTTGGTGACAGGCGGCACGGGTCTCGTGGGTCGTGCAGTGCAAGCCGAGGTCCAAGCATCCTCCTTGTCCAACGAGACTTGGATCTTTGTCGGGTCTGCCGACGCTGACCTGACCGACTTGGCAGCGACACAGCGGCTGTTCGACACCCATCGGCCCACACACGTGTTGCATTTGGCGGCGCGAGTGGGAGGTCTGTTCAAGCAACTGCATGAGCCCGTCGAGTTCTTCCGCGCGAATGCCGCCATGAACGACAACGTCCTCGCGTGCGCCCATGCCTTGGGCGTGACCAAGGTGATCTCGATGCTGTCCACGTGCATCTTCCCAGACAAGACGTCGTACCCCATCGACGAGTCCATGCTCCACCTCGGCCCGCCGCATCCATCCAACCTTGGGTCTCTTCCACAACTATTCCTTCCATTTGCCCTCATATACGCCTTCCTAGGTACGCCGTCGCCAAGCGCAACCTGGACATCCTCAGTCAATGCTATGTCCGCGAATACGGCGATCACTTTGCATGTGTGATCCCCACCAACGTATATGGCCCGCACGACAACTTTCACCTCCAGGACGCACACGTCATTCCCGCCCTAGTCCACAAATGCTGGCTCGCCAAAAAGGCTGGTGCCACGTCATTCGTAGTCGGCGGGTCCGGGGCGCCGTTGCGGCAATTCATCTATAGCCACGACCTCGCCAAACTGCTGGTGTGGGCCGTTCATTCGTATGAGGACGTGTCCCAGCCACTCATTTTAGCCGGGGACGACGACGAGCTCTCGATACGTGACGTGGCTCTCGCGATTGCACATGCGATGGAGTTCAACGGGCAAGTCACGTTTGACACGACGCAACCGGATGGCCAGCTCAAGAAAACTGCGACAAATGCCAAGCTGCGCCAGTTGCACCCGACGTTTGAGTTCACACGCTTTCAAGATGGGGTGGCCGCCACCGTCCGCTGGTTTATCCGGCACTACCACGAATGCCGCAAGTAGTAGTAGTACTAGTAGTACTAGTAGTAGTCCATATGGCCTATGAATTGTTCGACTCATTTTCATAGCTAGCGTAACGTTACTAGTAAGTAATACACATGTGAACTGCATTGTTTCAGTGGGGTTATCGATCAAAACTTGGTGGTTCGTGTTGGTTTTGACAGAACTCGGGGGCAAGTGAAATGTATTGGCAAATTTTACACCAGTTCAAGGCTAACGTACGAAGTATTAATACTATAATAGTATTAATAATAAAGTCGTATTTACTGTAACGTTACTCGCAGTGTACAGTACTTATGTACCGTATAGGTAACAATATCTACCCGGGCTTAATAACTACTTTTGGGCCTTCGCGGGCACAATGACTACCCTCAGCGCCGCAGGCGGGCTAAATTTCACTACCCTGGGCAATATGGCGGGTTTATTAACTACCCGGTCACACATATAATCTCCTCATCAAATGCGTGACTGGATACCCCAGCTATATTCTCAAATACAGCCATAACTATTGCTGTCCTGCTCAAACATCTTCGACATTTTGGGATATCCATCACCACCAGGCTCTTCGACTACTCTGACATTGACATTGGCCAGCAAAACCTTCAACCCCCTCAACAGGGTGGTTGCCCATTGTAAAATTCGTACATATCTCATGCAAAAGTGCAAGATCATGACTCGGGACTTTCAGGTCACGAATCGGGCGCTCTACCACTTGAGCTACAGATGCCTTCCTTGTGAACTTCGTGGAAATCTTTCTTAGGGCCCGTCTGGATGCCACCCACCAATATTATGGGATATTGGAATATTGAATAAAAAACATTTTTCGACATTGCAGGAAATTCTTGGGTTTCAAGATCCAAGAATGATTTTGGGTGGTGTGTCTGGATGCCATAGAATTAAAGAAAGTTCGGTCAATCAGAGGATAGCGCAGAGCCGCAGAGGACTTCGTCCACCCAGAGAGGACCACTGAGGATGGACGTCTTCTTTGGTGTCTTGTGGACGAAGGCGAGGTAGTGGTACTCCATCTGTCTGGCGAAGAGTTCCTTGGCCAGGCGGCGACGTAATCACGATGGCCTTTCTCATTCCGAAATGCCCAGTCAATTCAACGCGCACTGTCAATATCGTCAAAATATTCTACTCATGAGTAGAATATTATTTCTTGTGGTTTTCACGATATTTTTGATAAAATTATGGAATATAACTTGGTCACGAAATGGCATCCAGACACGCCAAATTGAAGTCGCTGAGATTCTTGAATATTTTGCAAAATTATCGCGATATTTCTCAATAAAAGTGGTATCCAGACGGGCCCTTAATATTTGACTTCTTGAATTTTGTATCGACATACAAAATATATTATTGAAAACCATACGGTGTATGGTATGATGCCATATGTCCTCGCATATGTTTTCGGACATTAGAGCATTGTTATAGTATACTTTAATGAAGTTTAAATTAAGCCTAATATTTGTATACTATACGAACATCAAATATAATCTCGGGCCGAATAACTGCTTTGGGATTTTTTGGCGGGTCTTTCTCGAGCCACCCTGAGCGAAAAAAGGCAGGGTAGTTATTGTTACCTATACGGTACTGGTAGTGTACAGTACTTATGTACTGGTAGGATTTACGCTCCCACGAGATTCCGAAGCCTAAAAGATGTCACATAGTTTAATCAAGATAAAAATCGCGGTCAAGATAATCTTGCATAGTTTGGTCAAGATGAAATTTGAGGTCAATATAACCCAGCATA